ACTCATATGGATGATATCATTCTTTCTAATGTAGGGTCTAAGGATCGAATTGAGTATTTCTTTGCATTATCAGTTTTGAAAATCTGAATTTTGCATTTGAACTGAGTGTAAATCATGTCATGAAAATTATTCAATTGATTCTAGTGTGATCATCAATGAAGGAGACAAACCATCTGACGTTATTATAGTTCTTAATTTTGATAGTCCCCAAATAGTACTGTGGATGATAAAGAAAGGATGTGAGGGTTTGTATCGAGACAGAAGATATACACGACGAGTATGCTTAGCTAAAAAAAAATTACTTGTTTCATACTGATAAAACTCTGTTTTTTATTAATAAATGCATGGGGGTACAACTTTATAACATAATGAAAATTGGAATGACCAGACAAAAATGTCATAATAGAACTTGAATTTCAACATGCTCAGCCACAATGGATTCAGGAACATGAGAAGAGGATGATGGGGAAGATACTTGTGTGTTAAGAGAATAGCTCTTCTTGAGCAAGTGTAGACCTTGATGCAATTCAACACTGTCAATCACATTCCTCGAATTCACCACATGAAATTCATAAGAGTTGGAGTAGTAACATAATTCAAGTCACGAGTAAGCTTGTTAATTGAAAGTTAAGTTGCAATATAGTTGGGGAAGATCTGACACAAAATAAAGATCAATATTTTTAGAGACTTTCACTTCTCATTTCCCAACAATCCTAACGTGAGATCCATTTGTATGTCTAATAAATTTGGTGGTTGTGATCTCTCGATAGTTTATGAGAGCATGAATTTCTCCAATTATGTGATACTTGAATCTATTGTCCAAGGTTGAGATCTTCCAGTGTTAGGAAGATAAGAGGACAATATGATACCTTGGTGTGTCATCAAGCTAGTAGGTTTCTTAGTAGTGTTAGTTACATCTCCATGTGCTCCTTGGTGAAGGTACTAGAGTCAACCAACTCTTTTGAAGAGGCACCAGCATAGGCCTTGTTGTCTTGGTCTTTCCTCTCTTGTCCTTGGTTTTATTCTACAGGCTTTTCAAGTAGTTTCCAACACTTATCCTTAGTGTGACCAAGTTTCTAACAGTTTTCACACTACGAACAATTCTTCTTTTTTTTTGAATCATGGGAGGAGTGTATGTGTTCAAAGTTGAGCTTTTAGTGCTAGATGAACCCACACTTCCTATCAAAACTTCTTCCTTCTTTCTTCTCTTCTAACTTCATCAAAGGCTTCCCTAGTGGTAGGGAGAGGCTTCATCCCTATGATTCTCCTTCTGACCTCATCTAAGTTCACCCAATAAGAACTTGATTATTCTCTTCTTCTCCACTATTTTCTTAATATATCATAGCACCTTGTGGACACTTCCATACATGTGTATCATACATATATTTCTATGCCCAATATCTTGATATTTTGTTGTGGTATTGAGTGACACTCAACTTTTCTTGTCAGAGCTCATGCAGTTTTGTCTCAATGTCAACAATTCTGCAGTATTTTTGGTACTAGAATAGATCTCACTAGCTGCGTCTTAAATGTTCTGTGTTGTTCTGTAAAGCAACAAAAAATTTTCAACTTTTGTGATCATAAATTTGATCAATCAAGACATCATATGATATTGGATCTTCCATGAGCAATGGTCAGGATCCATGAGCTCAAGAATATCTTGCGCTCTAATAAAATGTTCATCTTTTCTTTTTTCACAAATGTACATAAACACTGATTGAGACATTGAAGGAATTTATGGCATTGAGTTTATGTTCTGTGATAAAGGTAGAGAGTTCAGGGGTTGTTTGGACAGAATTTCTTGTCTCTAATTAAGAATTAACCTTTAGAGTAGAACCCGACGTCCTCTTTTCGTACTTGGTGATAAACCCTATGCATGTTTTAGGGCTGGATAAGGTTGCTTCTTATTGCAAGAATAGAGGAGCTCTGAGTCTTGCATAATTTCACGGTCAAAGGCTGAAAGGCAACTTGCGGAGGGCTTGCAGGCCGACTGAAGGGATTCCAGCGGTTGCAGGGAGGATTCTGGCTGCTTGGCAGCTGTTGGAGGGGTTCCAACAACTGAAGAAGAGTTTGGGTAGGTAAATTTTTTATTCCAAAATCCAACGACGTCGAGCTAAGCAAATGATGCTAGCGAAGACAACATTGCAGAACGAAGCACACGACACTCGGGATGAAGGCTAAGCAGATCACAACAAAATGTAACAGGAGATACGATGCGTGGGGCGTCCTAATCCCATTGCAGGAAGCAGATAGGGTCAACGAGTGGTCCAGACGCACGTAATCGATGTAGAAAAAGTGGACGAAGATACAATGCCCTAATCCCACGCAAGTAGCATACGAAGCTAGCAAATTTTCCAGACACACGATTCGAACGACACAAATAAATGAATGAGCGATTCAAATGAGCCAAACAGACATACAAATGCGTGATTCAGGCCACACAGACGATGCAGACGAATGTTTCCATCGACAAAGATGATTCTCTGATACCATGAAGAAGTTAGAAAAATAATTCTATTATCTTATTCCAAACATTACACCATACACACACACACACACACACACACATATATATATGAAGACAATAAAAAATAACATAGGAATCCCGTTAAATTGGGAAAAAAATATAAAATAAAAATACAAATAAATGAAATGCTATTATTGGAACATATTCTGAGAGAAGAAAATAAATTACTTACTAAGGCAGATTTTCACAAATATATTTAAAAAGTGTGTGTGTGTGTGTAAGGTTGGTCGAATGAGATTCGTGGCTGAGTGAATCGTGCTCTTGCGAAAGCTTACACTTTTGTCTTATTGGGGGAGTCGAAGTAAAGAGGAGAGAAAATTTGCATGCTGATTGGGGAGTTTTGTTGTTTTTTTAAAGCAAAATACATTGAGCAAAAAAATATATACATAACAATTGAAAAAGATTTTGAAGATACCAATAAGACTAAATTAAAGGATGATAAACTTCATATATATGATAACTCTTTTGAAGATGTTGAAATTGAGAATGAGAACACTATGGATCTTGATCCTCATGAAGTATTTAATTTCTAAATAAGTGTTAATGCTACGCCTTCCTAATACAGAATGTCCTAGTTTTTTATTTTACCATTTTAATTTTTGAGATTCATAACAAAAATCATATTTCAACACTTTGATGCAAGAGGAAAATTAAGTTTCAACATAGGCTACAAATTCTTGAAAACAGTCAATTCTTCAAATTTATAGTGAGGAAAATAAACCCGAGTATACTTTTTTTTATTGTAATATGAATGTCGAAAGACATTATAATTTACATAGATATAAAAGTAATACCGCACATAACCATAATTCTAGTTAAAATGGCTCTTAACATGCATATTGTGTGATGAAAAATACATTAAAAATATAAATGAGGAAGAAATTGATCTTAATTACCCAACAAATCAGAGTTTATTAAATGAGAAGTTAATTAAATGCTTGTACCCTAGGTCAGTTTTTTTTATGATAGTACAAAGCAACGAGACAATCTTAGGATTAGAAGGGTGTAGGAGGCTCACTCATGAGTATCTTGCACGCCACTTAATCATGCATAATACAACCATCATGGGAAAATCAAATTCATAATTATTATTAATATATTTTCTTACTAAAATATGATTGGTAATTAACTTAGGATATAAATGACATCTTAAATGCTTTCTAATAGCATGTATATTTAATTGATCTGGCAATTTGAATAGAGGATAAACTATCATATGGTTGAGTATTCTGGAGAAGTTGCAAGAAATTTATTATATGTCCAGATACACTAGAATCCACAAGCCGTGATGAAGAACAGAATATTTGTACCTTGCAGATTTATAGGTGAGAGGGCATTAATTATCATCTATTGAATCATTTGAGGGGTAATAGTGGATTCAATCACTACTGCCAAAACAACATTCAAATTAACGACCATTTGTTTAATATTTCAGGATTAATACAATATTATTTAGTGATGCGTTTAGGATTCTTACAAAATTTCAATTTCTTTTCTAATTTGACAATAATATGTATGTAGCCTTTGCAATTGAAGCATTGTAGTCGTTACATATCTGTCTCTTTGCCTTTCTTTTGGGTCTTTATTGTGAGCAGTAGTTTCACCTGAGATTTATGCCTTTTCCATTTTCTTAGGCTTCTCGTGCATAGAGAGGGTACTCAGAGCCTACATTTTTTATACCTGAAAGTTTGTTTCTCTTGTAGAATGTTGCCTGTAAAGTAATTCTTTAAAGCACACATCCAAAAAATGAGAAATACCACTATTTATAAAATTGGAAAGAGTAGCCCCAAATTTAGGATGAAGTTATATCAAAAACTAATTTCTTTCTTTGTTTATGAGCCTATTAAACGATAGAAAGAGCCTTAATTATACCGTACGAATACAAGAATTTGACACCTATCAAACTTATTGCATCCATTGGAATTTCATGTTGAAAGCATGCCTTCACCTTGTGGATGATGATACCAGAATTCAATTTAGAAATTTTGTTATCATTTTCGAGAATGAGGATGTCTCTATTTCTTCCTTCATAGTTCCAGGAACTTTAGTGTTATTGTTTTAGAAATTGTAAAGCTTTTACTATGCCTAAAAAAAATTCAAATAAAATGACTTGCAGCACTAATTTTTGTTGCAATACTTATTCACATGTTTTCCTTTTTTAATTATATTAACCTCCATATTATTCTCATTAAGAAAATAATCATCTATTAAAGATTTTCTGTGATTTTAACATTGTATGCTGTCAAAATATCCCTTCAGTTTGGTTTATAACCTTTGGCCTTTTTCCATAAAAAAAAGCTGTCTATTTGTTTTTGCCTTTGTTTTTTTCTCCTCTTTTTTCCTTTTATATGGTAGCTTTCTTCTATGTATTTTTACAGCAAGTTTTTCGTACATCAAATAAATTGTTTATTCCCGCAGGACATCTATTTCTTTGATTAAATGATTTTTCCCTTAAGCATCAATCATTTTGCAGATTGAAGTCCTTGGTGTTTCTCTTCCATGGAGGGACATATTTAGTAAGAGTGGACTTGGTGCTAAATTTATCAAGTTTTCAGGACCAAAAGAACACGACTCTTTCGTAACTAGTCAACACGAATCCTTTTCAAATCCATTTTATAATTCACTGCCAAAAAATAATACTGCTATATCTTTGGCAAATGGAGGCTTATCAAAATTATCTCTACCAAATATTGCCAACCATGCAGTAGACCTTCTCACAGGTGATCCAATACTATCGCATTCGATATCTCTACCAGAGTTTTCTAATACAACAGAACAAACAAACACACAGAGTGGAAATCTTCTTGATTTCTTCCACGGTTCCACTCCTGATCAATATTCTTCTGCTGATACTCCTACTGAATCGCAAGACAGATTTAACAATAACCGCAGAGACACAACAAGCTATATTAATATCTTCAATTCCTTTGCTTCCATTAAGGTATTTGCCACCTTTCTCACATGTTCTTCTAAACGATTTATTTTTTTATTTTGAATTATTGATCTAATTTTTAAACAAAAATTATGAAAATTGCATCCCAATGCATGGTTAACACTAATGCTGAGTGTGGGGAGATTGGATAACAGCAGCCTATTGTTGTATCAAGGAGATCTATTAATGAGAGATTGTTTATATTATTTGAGCTTATGACTATTAGGTCATAATCGAGCTAAACCTAACCTATATATGTCACGTGTGGCCATTTCGGTTGAGAGCTCTGCTAGGACTTCCGATGGTGATTTCGGTCGCAATTGATTCTACCGCTCGAAGGAGAGGACCTCACATTGTCGACTCTCGCTCCGTCGTCTCGCGTCGGCGTCAGTGCGTCTCTCATGCTTTCTGCGTCCCGAATTCGACGCTGCTGTCTCTCGTCGCAGTTGCTGCGACTGCGCCCGATAGCTTCGCCCGACACTGCTATCTTCTGCTGCGACTGTGTCCCGCCTCTCGTCGCAGTTTCGTCTCTCGCCCGACAGTTAGGTTTTCGATGCTGCTTTCTTCTATTGCGCCCGACAGCTCCTATCTGTCGACTCTTTTTGTCAGCTATCGTTGTAGCTTAACGTCGACAGCTCTCCTTGCTCTGATGACGCTTCTTCTTTGGTTGAGCTGGAAAAAGCCTCCTTTGCCCACGTGGTGGGTAACCCTCAGGTGGAGTTCGCAGTGGTATTCCCCTCAAGCTATAAAAAATGTCGATATCGTACAAATGATTGCCTTTTTGTTAAGAATGGAAGTAGGAAAGGTGGAAAAGTAGCATTCTTTTTCTCTGAATTAGAAATTTCTACCTTGATGGAAAAATTCAACTTTGCTTTATTGGAAAATTTCAGTGGGGACACTCTCCTATGGATGTTATCAGAAAAAGTGTTGATGATCTTAAACTAGTAGGCAACTGGAAAGTGAGACTCGTGGATGAGAGACGTGTGTTGATTCAACTAACAGTGGCTGAAGATTGTACTAGAATTTTCTCCAAGAAATATCTTAATATCGCAGGCAAATCAATGAAGTTACTCAAGGTTCTCCTGATTTCAACCTAAATCATGAAACTCCCACTGTACCGGTATGGTTTAGTTTACTTGGTCTCAAGATACAGTGGTCTCAAGCTACATTTTTTTCACCATCAGGTTCTCTATTCTATTGGGGTCATCCTTGGGGACCCTTTGAAGCTAGATCTGCCTACTTTCAACCTAAGCAGACCCTCAGTGGCCAAAATACTTGTGGAAAGGGATATTACTTTACCTGATGTTGCTGAAGTCTAGCTTGACACAACCCATAATGGTTATTGGTAACAAATCGTCATGGAGCACAGACCCTCATATTGTGCCCACTGTAAGATGTTTGGTCATGTCCTTGATAAATGTCATAAGTTTCATCCAAATTTGAAATCTAAGGTTCAAGTGAATAAGGATAAGTCTAACCCTATTGCTCTGGACATTTTAGTTACGTCTGGGGATGATGCTACCAGATAGGAAATGTCTGTTGCCCCTGAGGACCCCCCTATGACACTGTTGTTACTGTTATTGCGAGTGATGTGATGTTGACACCTTCAAACCCTATAGAAAACAATATTGATGGAATATTACTTACAAATGATAGTGTTCAGACTGATAATCAGGAGTGCATCGTAGTTTCACTTCTTCAGGAAGTATCCGGTGTAGAGGCAACTTGAGAGCTCAAACATGACACCTGTGGGAGAGGACTATCCCACAGGTAATGGGCTCAAATATATATATTATAATAGGAATGAAGTCGGCAGTGGGCTCTGCTAGGGTTTCGCCGGACGGCCATTCCCGACGTTGAATGTCTCAGCTTCACTCCTTTTTCGTCGTCTCCCATCCGTCATCTCCCACGACGAAGATATCACGTATGCCCGCGGGTCCTTTTTCTCAGTCGACAATGATCGCTCATAGGCTTCGACTTCTGTCGGCTCGCTCGAAGAGGAAGAAGACGGTCTTCCTGTTCACACGTCGTCGACGGTTTCCTCTCACAGTTTGACTCGCTCGGGTCTGCTCGCGTCCTCGTAGATTGACGCGATTGTCTGCACGCACCCGACAAACGGCTCACACCCGACTCTCCAAGCGCGTCGCCTTACTGATTTACACTGTTGTCTGCTCCTTTCTGTGGCTCGCCTCGCCCCCCTGGAGA